TACGGCAATTGCGCATCAAGTAAACCCTTCCATGACGTGCACAGCTCGGCTACTCATCCAGGACGTTCTGTACGTGGTCGAATTCATCAATTTTCTACACTGCTCGCACGACGTGATATTAGGCTGGGACTTTCTTCCCACACATCATGCCGTTGTTGATTGTGTCCGGGCCGAACTAGAATTATCATCACTCGCCGAGGACGATTCTAACAAGCCTTCCATTTCTCGTGTTGTCGCCGCAGACACGGATATCCCACCTATGTCTTTGGTTATTACACCAATCTCCTGCGACCATGCTGCTTTTTCGAACGTCTTGTTCACGCCGTCTGAAGACTTCACTTCTCGAAAAAACGTTTTTCTTTCTTTCTACCTTTTGCTCTTGTGATGGTTGAAAACACTTCTGCAACCATTTACGCCACAAATCTCCTTTTAGTGCCAGCCAGATTATTCAGTGGCGAACGCATCGGCCATTTTGAGGACATCGATTGTGTTTGCGCCAGTCAACTGCTCGGTCGCGCAACAAGCCTTCAGATCGCCAGTGTTACTCCCGCTCCCACGTCCACCACATCTTCCCTAGACGCCTTCCTTCCATCGATTGATTCGGACCTTCCTGTTGTCCAACGGACCCAACTCTTGACACTCCTCGACCGCTTCCGGATGTCTTTCGACTTCAAGCAAACCGATATGGGCCGAACATCTGCAATTGTTCATTGTATAGACACCGGCACCCACACACCATTGCGTCAGCGTCCATACCGGGCCTTTCACGCTGAATGCTAAGTTATTGACGAGCAAGTGTCTGATATGCTCAATCGTGGCGTCATACAGCCATCCAACAGTCCGTGGGCCTCCCCAGTGGTACTGGTCAAAAATAAGGACGGGAGCATCCGATTCTGTGTTGATTACAGGCGCCTTAACATGATCACGCGCAAAGATGTTTATCCGCTCCCCAGAATTGACGTTGCTCTTGACTGCTTGCAAGGAGCAGAGTTCTTTTCCTCTTACCAGAATATTGGCAAGTACCCATGGATGAATCTGATCGCGCCAAGGCTGCATTTGTAACTCCGGGCGGCTTGTACGAGTTTAACGTGATGCCGTTGGGTCTTTGCAACTCCCCTGCCACCTTCGAGCGTCTGATGGACAACATACTTCGAGGCCTCAAATAACAGACGTGTCTTTGCTATCTGGACGACATCGTTGTTTTTTCAGAAGACTTTGATACCCATCTTCTGCGCCTCGCAAGTGTCCTGGAATGCCTAACGTATGCTGGGCTCCAACTAAATTTTAAAAAGTGCCATTTTGCCGCCCATAAGCTCACCATCTTAGGGCATGTTGTCAGCAAGAATGGTGTTCTACCTGGCACTGTGAAACTCTGTGCCGGCGCCAAGTTTCCTAAGCCATCGATACTAAAGGGACTCCGGAGCTTTATCGGCTTATGTTCATACTTTTGCCAATTCGTCCGTAATTTCGCATCGTAATAGCCCCTTTAACACGGCTACTTTCTGACAGTGAAAGAATTTCGACGTGGCCTTCCGCTTGCGATGACGCATTTGCCAAACTACGTCATTTGCCGACATCTCCACCTATTCTGCGTTTCTTTAACCCTGATGCTCCTACCGAAATCCACACCGACGCTAGTTGAGTTGGCCTTGGCGCTATTCTTGCTCAACGCAAGTCTGGCTTCGACAATTAAGTGGTTTCTTATGCCAGTCGCACTCTTACTAGGGCTGAGGGAAATTATTCGGTCACGGAAAACCAACGTCTGGCCATCGTTTGGGCAATAACAAAATTTCGACCCTACGTCTATGGCTGTCCATTTGACGTTGTGACTGATCACCATGCCTTCTGCTGGTTATCGTCACTAAAAGACCCGTCTGGCCGTCTGGCTCGTTAGGCATTGCGTCTCCAAAACTATGATATTCGTGTCGTCTACAGGTCGGGCTGCAGACATTCAGATGCCGAGCTATTTCCCGCTCTACACTTCTCCACGAACATGTAAGTGCGTCTGTTTCCAGTCTCGATGCTGCGGCACCTTCGTTCACTAACATGCACTCCGAGCAGCGCCAAGACGCTTGGATAGTCTCTATGATAGACGTACTGTCTCAGCCACCCCAAGGTACCACCAATCGTTCACTACGACGTACAGCTCGTAATTCGCCATCTGCGATGGACTCCTGTACCTTCGCAACTACCTTTCCGACGGCCGCAAGTGGTTGCTTGTGAGTCCTCGCCACCTACGTGCTGCTATTTGCAACTACTTTCTCGCCGATCCTCAATGCGGCCACACCAGTGTGATGAAAATAGATGCACGCCTCCGGCTGCGGTACTATTGGCACGGAATGTACCGATTTGTCCGACAGTACGTATGTTCGTGTTCGAAATGTAAACGCTAAAAAAGCCCACCGAACATAGCCGATGGACTACTACAGCCATTGCCTTGCCCATCCCGACCTTATGACCACATCGGAAATGACTTTTACGGTTCCCTTCCCTACACTCCTAATGGGAACCACTGGCTGGCTGTCGCTATCAATCACTTGACACGCTATGCTGAAACTGCTGCGCTGCCAGAGGCCACATCACATGAAGTTGGCTTGTTTACCCTTCACAATCTTGTTCTTCACCATGGCGCGTCTCGTGAGCTACTCAGCAACTGCGGACGTACGTTTCTTTCTGAAGCTGTACAAGCCTTTCTTCGTGGATGCAACGTTGTGCATCAGACAACCAGCTCGTACCATCCGCAAACGAATGGAATGACCGAACGGTTTAACCGCACACTGGGCGACATGCTGTCTATGTACGTGTCCGCTGACCACACCAACTGGGACTGCATACTCCCCTTTGTTATTTACGCTTACAATAGCGCCACTCAGTCTACAACAAGATTTTCTGTGTTTCCCTCAAAAAAAGTGCCTTCAGCTCAGTGCTAAAGACGTACTAACACTAACATCAAAACTCACGCAAAATACATTTTATATACGGATGACACTACCCTATTCTTTCCTTCTAATTATATACAACACTTAGCAGATATCAAGAACAATGCACCCTAATCCCTTGCCACATGGTCATCGGTTGATTCACTGAAAAATCACCAGGCCTGCGGGAAACGCACAGCACAGTCACAGCGAAAGCATGAAGGGTGGCCTTTCAGAGTCTTTTCTAAACACTCTCCTTTCAAAGTCTTTTCTAAACACTCTTTGGGTAAATGCTAGAAGTAGACTTGCTGGGTACCCATTACGCCTTAAACAATCATAATTTCTGTGCAGTAGGCCGACATTCACTATGCTATCCTACGACATACTTTGGAGAAGCGTAATATCCGCTAAACACTTGCAACTGATTTTGTGAGAATTTTGTGTTGCATTTAGTGGCTGACAACGATGAAGAATTACGCCTCAAGTGGGTATGTGCCACAGTTAATAGGTGATGAAGAACAAGCTTTCGTAATGTGTTGGAGCATTGGACGACCCAATCGTTATGCTATTCACGTTGTGTGACGCATGGTTGTTCCTTTGCTATTTAAAAATGCTTTATTACTTATATCAATGCGATTCCTTTCCCAACATCAAGCCTGCCTAAAGCCAGTTTGCGAATGTGTGCCAAGCGTCGGCTTGGCTCAGTGATAGAATACTGGGCTAGCACACAGTGGACCCGGGTTCGAATCCAACTATGTCACTACGTGTCTTTGGTGTTTTTCATAAGAGTTTTTTTTCCTATTTCGTGCGGAAGTGGTTACGGACGCCGGCGGCGGTGGACAACTACCCGCGCCGCGTGTGATCTGTGTTGTGATGTCAAAGCAGCTTTTGCTGTAAAATAAACAGAAAACAAAAGCAGTGCTCTTTCTTCCGAAAAGAAAAGTATTTCTACGGCCCTGCTTATACCTAAGTGATACTGTAATTGAGTACATGGACACGTTTAAATCATTAAAAATAACCTTCAGCAGCACAATGTGATGGGATGTACATGTTGATAATCTTTCTTCACCCCTCATGAGAATCATAGGAATCACTTCACGTAACGGATATATTTTTCCCACCAAAACCACGCTTACTTTGTATTATGCGTTCTTTTATTCCCACACTAGCTATTGTCTGTTCGTCTGGGGCAACACAACTTCGTCAAACAAACTAAAACTGCAAACTCTGCAGAAGAAAATACTCGACACAATTTTTAATGGGTCTCATGATTTCCCCACTGAGCATGTTTTTTTACAATACAATATTGAACCTATAACAAAATTATTTGACTACAGGTTTGCATACTTTTAAAAAACAACAAGAAAAAATTATTCATTTCTTTCTAAAATTGTTTCACTTGCACTTCGCCATTCACTATATGATACCAGAGTACAAAATAGTTTCGTACTACCAAAGTGTACAACAAACTATGGTTTTCCTATGTTAAATTATATTGTGCCAAAATTCTTGAGTACCTCATTTTATGACTGCCTAAATACTTTGTGTTATCGTGCCATCCACAAAAGCACTATTCAGCAACCTTTGTTATCTTAGTCACAATGTGGTTTCATGTCTTCACACATTGTATCACTATGTCTTATTGTTTTGTACTCGCAGTAGTGTTACTAATGAAGATACGTACATATCTCTTTTGTACTAGATTTATTATTTTTTTGTAACTACATAGTGGTGGTGTGTTTTCTTTCTTTTTTTCTTTCTCTCTTTTATTTGTATTTTTAATGAACCTCCCGTGCAGCAATTGTTTTCTGCTTGGTGCCTACTGCTGACATGTACAGATGATGAAGCACATCAAGCAACGTTAAATTCACTGCTTTTTTTTCTCGCTTACCACGGTTTGTGTGTATAAGCTGAAGTGCAGACTTGATTGGCTAGTTGTTGAACCTAAGTTCACCCTATACGCATGACATGTGCGTGCCACGAGGCACAAACTACTTCACAGGGAAGTGATAGTACCCCCGTACAACTCCTACGGGAGTCTGTCCTTTGTACTGTGAAAGCAAAAGACACATTTATACTCACCTTTTGATAACTTTGATGTCGCATGAAGCTCCAAATTTTCTTGCTACGGGCAGAAACACCTGCATAATGACACAAAACATGTTGCACAATGAGCGTCTATATCAAAGATTCCAGATTTTACCAAGCTATAATGATGATGAATGGGGCTTTGTGGCACAAGGGCCATAAGTTGCCACAGAGCACCATGTATTTTATGTGGTATTAGTGGTCACCAATGTTTGCGATGACAGGGTGTATTTACGGCTGTATAGAGGCCTAAAATCACTTGCTCAAATTTAGTGTAAAATCTGTGTATAGATAGTAAAATTATGGCAATAATATACAGGAAAAAGATGGACAATAGGACCTATGCCTCCTCAAGGCCTTTGTGGCTAAAGGCAGGGATGATGGTGCTCTCTCGAATAAAAAAAATCACAGCATATCCACGGAGTGAATGACGATTGGTGGGGCGAAGTGTCCGTCCGTCCATCCGTCCACTTGTATTTTCGTCTGTTTAGTGAACACTCCAAGTACAGTCATCTCAAATCTTTTCATCATGTATTAATCATATACAAGTGCTGCCATCCAGCGGACATTCTATGGACTGCTCTTTCGGGTATGTACCGCCGGTGGTTACGCACTACAACAAGGGACGCACAAGCTTTGCCATAAGGAGCTTCGCCCCTAAACTACCACAGCAGCAGCCTCTCTTCAGAGGTTGTGCTACGGGTTGCCTGCATATGACGTGAAAGTTCTCAACTTCTTTCAAAAACGCAAACAATGACTGAGGTTTAAAACTGGTTCGCTGCCTATGAGCACCAATTAATGAAGTGGCACTTGTTCTTCGAAGATAGATGGGAAATACTTTTAAAGACGATAGTCTTTCTTGGGGACCTTGGACGCAAAATTTTGGTCTGTCTGTCTGTCTGCACATTTGTCTGCCCACACTTAACGCTAACCTAAACGGCACCAAACTGACCAAACGATACTTCAAACGGCCGACCCCATCCGCAGCGCCCACCAATAATGCTCAAGGTTTATCGTTCATACTTGTGCGATTGTCGATTAAAAAGCAATTATTGCGCATATCTGAGGCACCATAACAACACGTCAATATTATGTATGTGTATTTTTTTATTAGAAAAGGCATACATAAATAATTTAGGGATCGTAGACTTTAAAACGCTGCGCTGGCCATGCAACACTTGCACGAAACGGCAAGTGTTTCAAACGCTTTGCGAAGACGACAGGGTGGTGGCACCTACACGTCACCTTGCGTTTTACACCTTATCACCGTGCGCCCCATTTTTCAGGATAACTGCCAGATAGCGCGCATGTCTCATGTGTGACGTGACTTAATGCGCTCGTTCACCTCTGCTGTACGCTCGAGGCACTCTAACGCAGCACTTCCAGATACTAGTCACAGATTTTCTTGCGCAATACATCAAATAAACGTTTCGTTCACTCTCTCCAGATGCAAAACTATAGTCTTTCGATGACATTTGCAATGTAAACATGCAGATACGGGGCCTATTTTTTCCTGATGTGATCAAGTTAAGTGTATTGGATAAGAAAATGTAGCACAGCAAGTGGTTCCCAGCACTTATCACACAGAGGTGGATCGGCACCGGACAAAAGGTAGGAGTGTATACTGTGTGTGTGTGTCCTATCTTAATCTGGTAAGTGTTACTTCTGTGTGACGTGATCTTGATAGTGGCGGCCAATTCTCAAGACGCGGTTTTATGAAATTAAGTTTATCCTGTGTTTGCCTGTTCCGTGATCACTCCCAATGATCCCTAGGCTTCCCTTTAGGATAGGTTTTCTAGTCAATTGCAGGGACAGCTATAGGTGTATTATGAACGCTTTCGTGGGCAGATGCTGATAGCTGATCTGCCAACACATTATCATAGATCTTGCGGTGCCCTGGCACACAGCCGACCACGACATGTCTGAGCGTGTAAACTTCGCATAAGATTGCATATAGTGAAGTAAGGACTGACTTTTTGGGTGTTTTCATTGTTTTTAAAGCTTTTACCGCACTCAAGTAATCAGTGAATATTACTGCCTTCCCTAGTTTCAGTAGTTTGATGTGTTTTATGGCTGCAAGTATAGCATGAACTTCTGCTGTGAGAATACTTGTACAGTTGAGCCCACATATAACGGCCCCACTTAAAACGAAATTTCATTTAAAACGAACAATATTCGCATGACCGTGAAAACATACATTGGTTCAATGGCACAAAATCGCACTTACAACGAACGTCTCTGAGCGTCGCTGATCGGTTACAGCAAACGAAATCGGCGGTCTGCCGACTTCCCAGGAAACCAATTTCGACCACCGATCAAGAATAGGCGAGTTGCCCATACATTCTTATTGTTAAACGCCGACCCTGCCTCCGCGAGCCTCTAGTTGCCGCTCTCCCCAACCCATGGAGAAGGGAAACCCGTTTCCTTCCTCCTACCACGACTGCTTTTTCTTACGCACCCCTCCATTCTTTGTCCCCCCCCCCCCCCCCACAACTAGTTCTAAGCACCCCACATCGCCAGATGAGACCCGTGTTTCCACAATGGCCACCGATCTTTCGAAGACCTGTCGGCCATCTACCCTGTTTTCGATCGCTGGTACTGTCCTTGGCATCGCCAGCCTGGAGTGACCAGACCATTTGCCACCATCGTTAGCCACCGACTGTATCCGATAGTCTCCGTCTAGTGCACGCGCATACGCTACCCCGCCGACTCTGATAATTTGCGATTCGTTTCGTGTTTAGGACTTGTTCTCACTAAGTTCGCACTCGGCTCAGCATGCCTTTCGCGCGCGTGTGAAAGCCCGAAAACGGTTGTTAATTTGCGCAGAACAAATCGCAAAATATCGAAGTTCGTGCTTACAGCAGATGATGGTGCCGACACTGCGGAACCGTACACAGATTGGGGCATTGTGAATGAAGAATGTGGCGAGAGCGATGTGGACGAATCGGATTGCGAGAACGACGAAACTTTGGAGCCAGTGCCTCATGCAGCTTATGCCACGGGCCTCGGCGAACGAGCACTCTGCCGTTTTAAATGAACTCGAGACCGCCCTTATCGCTTCTGCTCTTCGGAACACATGCATCACGAACTTTTTGGGGCAAAAAAAGTTTGTGTTTTCAGTCGCAACTTTTTAAAAGCTGTGTTTCATTTACTACGAACTTCGGGATACAGCGAACAAATGCCACGTCACGCTCAGGTTCGTTATAAGCGGACTCGACAGTATAAGTGTGCAGAATGCTGACATCTGAAAAAGACAGACCGACTGCTGCGTATGACACAGACGTGCGAGATTTAGTGACATCCGTAAAGAATTCAAGACAGATATACTTGCACTCAAGTTCAAGGAAGTATGTATGAGTTATGTCCAAAATAAATGCGTTTTGAAATTTCTCCGAAGGATACATCAAAATCTATTGAGTGTCACTGCAACGACGGAATATTTGTAGCAGGGACCGCCAAACAGTGTTCCTAAGTAGGCACACTCATTTCTTCGGCTAGGCCCCTTGCTTGTTTTACGCAAGGCTCTCCCACAGAAGGACGGTTATGAAAAGGGGTAGAAGTGGATAGTTCTTTGACAGCTGAGTGCAAAGGGTGTTCGTTGTTTGAGTTTACCTTGAGAAAATATACAAATGCTAAGTAGGATCTCAGCAGATTGAGCAATCACTCATTCGATTCAACGTAGAGGCTCTCTACAGGGCTTGTGCGAGATGCACCTGTAGAGAGGCGAATGCCCAGATAATGGACCGGATCCAGAATCTTCAGCGCACTCGGTGTGGCCAACTGGTAGATTGTGGTTCCTTAGTCTAGTCGCGTGCGTGCAACACTTTTGTACAGGTTAAGGAGACACTGTCTGTCACTGCCCCGTGATGTACGCGGCAGGACCTTTAAGATATTGTTTTCATACACTTGTTTTTGATATATTTTATGTGTGACACAAACCCTAGCTTCGTGTCTAAAATCAAGCCTAAAATTTACGATCTGTTTTTGCAGATAGACGTTGACCTTGTAGGTCTATATCGGGTTTGGATGCAAGCCCTTTTTTCTCATAAAAAGGACACGTGTTTTTTGAAGATATATGCCGAAACCATTTTCACCACCCATTTCCCCACTCTGTTTAAGGGAACAGGTTCAGCCTTATACCCGCCATGTATTTTATTTCGGCTAACTTTATGTACCTCTTTCTCCATAACCATAAAAGTTGAAGTAATTATTTTACTATGATTGTGATCATAAGCATTCCTCTTTTCACTGAATCACAATTATCCCTGACACTTGTAATACTAATTTTTAGTTTTTTTTTTTACTTGAGGTACCTAATTATCACCCATTATATGGTATTAAATGTAATGTTAATAAAGTACTTCCTCAAACAAGAATAATTCTGCTTCAGTATACTCTCTAGCATGTTCTCTAAATACTGGCTGAAATCTATCTCTAGATCCAGTGGTTGCTGAAAAAAAGGTACATAAGTACAAAAAAGGCAGATTTTGCGATAATCGCGTTTAAAGTGGAAAACATGCTTTATTTCATAAGTGCCACGAAATAACCACCAATTGAAGGACATTTTTAATAGGCACCAGCCATATACTCAGCACCAACATCACTTTACCTTCTTGAGTTGAGGCGTCTGACCTGGCGGGCCTCCTTTGTCACCTGCTTCACAGACCTGTCAGTGAACTACTTACTGTGAATGCAGCTCAAGTGTGCGTAGGCCCTGCACTGAGTAGCGACCTGGCGAAGCTCCAAACGAGTTCAGCACATTTACACGAGTTATATTGCCGTCATTAAAGGTAATTACAGTATCAAGAGTGCATATTTTCAGTGTTATATGTCCGAGAAACACTTTTTTCAGAACATGTTCCCACACAACATTGTTGAACGTTGCCCGCACATAGCGATAAAAATTATCACTGGTGCTTGGAACAAAGTCAAGTAAAACACTGAGGTCACGGTGTAAGAATAAGTTAAGTGCTGACACTCGCTGCTCCGCGTAGGGCGAGGGCACGAGCAGATTGTGTTCGCCGATGACCTTGAGCTATGTGTAGTTGCCGTC